TTAATTACTTTTAATACTACTTCCCTTACTTTGCAACTGAGTATGGTGCCTTAGTGAAATTCTGCAGGGCAGAATGGTTCTCAACTCTGCTGCACCCTTTCTGCTCAAACTTCTGTTACAACATCCACATCTGCCTTCTGAATTCCAGAATTTATTAGAATACCTCAGCTACTTAGTACATTTCTGCTATCCTGATTGTTTATACTATGGAAATATTCCCATGTATACCTTTTGGCTGACATTTCGGGGAGTTTTAAAGAATGAGAGGAGGTGAATGTGTATGTGCACACCACTCTCAACCAAAAGTCAGAATGCAGCCTTGCAGATAATCCAGTCTGACCCTGGAACACTAAACTAGCAAACAGTGGATAAACTAGCAAATACTGGCTTGAACATTTATTGGCACTGTATAGGAAAAAATTCTGTCATATAACAACAAAATGATCTTGTCAGTTGAATTTAAAATATTAATTAAATACTTTAGGTATTAGAAAATATTGTTGTTTCAGTGTTAATATGTTGTACCATATAATTAATCTGTTAAACTCTTGATTATTTTCTCTTTTTTATTTGTACATTATAATTATGCATAATAGTGGGATTCATTATGCCATACTTGTATATGCACACAACATAATTTGATCAATCTCATTCCCTAATACTTTCCTTCCACCCTCCCCCTTAATTCTGTAGTACTGATGATTGAACCTAGGGCCTTGTTCATGCTAGGCAAGTACTCTATCACTAAGCTACATCCTCAGCCTGTTTTGTTTTATTTTGAGGCAGGGTCTCACTAAGTTGCTCAGGCTGGCCTTGAACTTGAGATCCTTTTGCCTCAGCCTCCTGAGTAGCTGTGATTATAGGTGTATGCCACCATGCCTGGCTGTGTTCTCAAATGAATGTGTGTTTAATGTCAAATTAACAGATTTTATTCACCTCATTATGTAAAATTCATATAAATCATCAACCTCTGGGTACTTGAAATATAAATAGGTTCCTGTGAGACCAACTCTCTGTGTAAGAGAAGGGATTTTACTAGGGCTAGGGATGTAGCTAAGTTGTATAGCACCTGCCTAACATGTGCGAACCTACTGTTTTGGTTCCAGCATGGAAGAAAAAAACAAAAAACAACAATTAAAAAAAAAAAAAGAAAAAGGAGAGAGAAAATAGAGAAGGAACTTCCACAATGAAAGAAATCAGTATAGAGGTATAGAACCTCTGTTTACTCACAGTCTCTCTCAAACTGACTTTTCATAGCATCTTTGTGCTTTTGAATGTCTGGAAAACCACTGCTCCTGAGGAAGTTTTTGGCCGCAAAGAATGCCACTGTATATGGTTTCATTTGTGGACTTGCCTACTAATAGTAACAATGTCTTTTTCTCAAAAAAACTTCCTAGGTATGCTGTAAGGCTAAATATAATGTTGGTGTGTTTTGTAATGAGTTCACATTTATTTCAAATGAATTTTACACTTGCATGTAGACCACTTTGGAGTATTTAATTTTTCTCTATTGGGGTTGGATTTGTTGGCAAATTTGAGAAATTAACTTTTAGAAAAACTGCTCAGACAATCCATATTTTAGATGTTCTATACAATTGTCTATTGTTCAACAGTTGAAAACCTGTTTTTAATACACTGCCATTTTAAATTTTGATGTTTTAAATAATATTCCCTTTGGTCTGGTAACTGGAAGCACTTGTATATAAAAACAAAATAGTAAAACTAGAACTAGATAGTATCAAAGGACAGGGTTTAAGTCCTTGTTAATATTGGAAAGTCCAAATCTAGATCCCACTATTTAGACTGAGGGTTTCAGGCTAAGTTGTGTGCCCCAAAATTGATACTAGACCTGGTGTTTAAACGTGTCTTTTCTCAGCTAAAATTATTAAGCTTGTTAGACATTAAACTTAAGTATGTAACCATGCAATTCAAATCAGCTGTAGTCTTAATTTAAAAGGGAATATTGATTTTTTTTAACCTTGGTCAAACAAGAAGAACTACATTTTGGTGATAATATGGACTTTGTATTTCATGACATTGTTTAATAAAAGCTGGGTACATATTTGTTGAGTTAAATAATCAGGACTTAAGTGATTATCTTTTAACTTTTTTTTTTTTTTTTTTTTTTTTTGGTAAAGGGCATCGAATCCAAAGCCTCACACATTTTAAGAAATTCAGTTATGAATGGCTTTTTTGTGTCATTCATTGTTACAAAAATTATTACCCTACGTGATCACGAAAGATTAAAGTCCAGAGTTATTGTTCCAGGGCTTTGTGCTTAGTCCAGTAGGTCAGTTTCTACCTGTCTTCAGAGGTAGTAAAGATGAGCTAATTGTTAAGTACCATGTAAATATTAAACCATAAGAGGAACAGAGTGTGAAGATTTCTGAGTAAAACAGGAGCATTTCATGCTGTTTTGCCTTCATTAGCATTTAGTATGAAGAAGACAGAGCAACGATGTGTTTATCTTCTATTAGTAAACTTCTAAGAGGCAGGAATCAGATTTATTGAAGTTTGTATTTTTATAACTTTTTATCTAGAAGTAGTTTCATACTTACAGAATATTGCTATGTACAAGAACAGTACAAAGAACTTTTGTATACTTGATACCCAGAGTAACAATTGTTCACATTTGTTTTACATATTTCAGACTATTTCCTATTACAAGGATAGTCTCAGATCAAAATCAAGAAATGTAGCATTTTTATACAGTGTTAGTATGTAATATTCCATATTCAGTATGTCCATATTCTGTATAATTCATGTTTCATTTTCACTTATCTTCTAATAATGTTGTTTATAGAAGTTTTTTTCCTTAGTCCAAGGGATCAGTTGGACTTAATCTCTTTAGTCTCCTTTGATCTGGAACAATCTCCTACCTTTCTCTTTTTGTTTATTTATATAATGGTAGGGATTGAACCTGGGACCTCATGCATGCTAAGTACATGCTCTACCTCAGCCCCTCTGCTTTTCTTTACCCTTCATGACATAGATTTTTTTTTTTCTTTTTGATACTGGAAATTGAACTCAGGGGTGGGGTGTACTAAGCAACATCCCCAACCTTTTTTTGTATTTTATTTAGAGACAGTGTCTCTCTAAGTTGCTTAGGGCCTTGCTAAGTTGCTGAAGTTGGCTTTCAACTCAAAATCCTGCCTCAGCTTCCTGAGCTGCTGGGATTATAGGTGTGCAACACTGCACCTGGCAACATTGCTATTCTTGAAGAGTGCTGCACAAATATGTTTTATACAACTTTGAATTTTGGCACAGGATGTCATCTAAAGAAGGTATATATATATATATATATATATATATATATATATATATATATATATTCTGAGACTTTTAAAAAATTTTCTTTTTAGTTGTAGATGGACACAGTATCTTTATTTATTTATTTTTATGTGGTGCTGAGGATCGAACTCAGTGCCTCACACATGCGAGGCAAGTGTTCTACCACTGAGCTACAACCCCAGCCCCTAAAGAAGGTTTTTAGGAGTGACTATTAAGAACTTGAAATAGTTATGGTGGCATGCATCTGTAGTCACGACTGCATGGAGGCTGAGATGGGATCATTGCTTGAGTCCACGTTTGAAGGAAGCCTGGGTAACATAGTAAGACTCCATCTCACCACCACCAACAAAAAAAAAATTATTTAATTTAAAAAATGTCTGTTGAGATCTGGGATTGTAGCTCAGTGGTAGACTGTTTGCCTAGCATATATGAGGCACTGGATTCAATTCTCAGCACCATAAATAAATAAATAAATACACACACACACACACACACACACACTCTCACACACAAATGTCTGTTGAACATGTTTTGAGAGAGCAACTTTCTTTCAAAAAGTTTAACATGGGAGCCAGATGTGGTGGCTCTGAGTCAGGAGGATCATCAGTTCAAAGCCAGTCTCAGCAACTAAGCAAAGCAACTTAGTGAGACCCTGTCTCAAAATAAAAAAATTAAAAGGGGTAGGGGTGTGGTTAAGCACCCCTGAGTGCAAGCCCTGTTAMCCCCCCCCCCCCCCCGCACACAAAAAAGTTTAACATGGGAAAGTAATGTGTTTTTATTTATTTATTTATTTGTTTTTTTAAAGCACATACTTTGACTTACAGAGTTGGATTCAAATCACATTTCTGCTACTTAGTAGTTGTGTCAAGGGCAAATTACTTTATCCCAATTGATTCAGTTTCCTCAGCCCTAAAAGGGTATAGATAAAGCATTGGCATGAAGAAATGAGATATTGTATATAAACAAAGTTAGAGCAGTACAGGATGTATATGTGGTGAATGATAACTACTAATATTCACTGAACACAACTTCCCAGTTGTGTGAGGATGACTGCTCTTGTCATGTTCAATGGTCAAATACTTCTCTAGCTCTAGTATAAAAGGAGATGGAGGAAAATCCAGAAATATGGAAATCATTTGGTTGTCACGTTCTTTCTTGAATGTAAATATCATCTAAGAATTCCTTGTATTTAGTAGGTGCTTGAGATTATTAAAAAGTATTTTTAGTTATAGATGGACACAATACCCTTATTTTATTTATTTTTTTATGTGATGTTGAAGATCGAACATAGTGCTTCACATGTGCTAGGGTAAATGCTCTACCACTGAGCCACAACCACAGCCTGGTGCTTGAGATCTTACCAGGATGTGGCAGCACCTCAAAAGTTTAAAAAAAAAAAAAAGCTTTTCCCCCCACATTTAAATTCTAAGGAACAGCTTAGTATTTCCTTGTCAGATGGTTTGTTGACGTAACCTGTGTGCTGAATTCACTGGAATGTGGCATAGTCAAATATGGCTACTTTTACCCCTGAGTTGATGCAAGAAATATTTGGCAGCTATTAAAGTGCTATTCTTTGCAATTATTTGGTATAATTTGCCCCCAAAATAAATTCCAAGAGGTAATATTCTTCTTAGGTTGTACCCTGTTTCAGATGTAAGAGTTCTTTCTAAGGGCCATTGATCTCTAACCCAAAGTGATTCTTTTGGCAGCCGTGAAGATTTCCAGAGGATTCCAGAACTTGCCATCAACCCATTGGGGGACCGGATCATTAATGCCTTCTTTCCAGAGGGGTGAGTTGGGGCAGCTGTTGGATCTCCTTCCTTTGGCTGTCTTAAACTAAATTAATTACTGAGTTGGAATAATGATATTATTTGAGTTATTTCAGACATAATCCCCTGATTATGTTGGGCATTCCTAATTTTATCATATCTAAATCATCTCTTCTGTTCTATCTTCTTCCCTCTCTTTTATTTTAAATTTGGTAGTGCTGAGAATTGAACTCAGGACCACACAAATGCCAGGCAAGCACTCTACCACTGAGCCACATCCCCAGCCTTGTCTCCTCCCTCTTTTAGACTTAAATATATATGTGAGCCTATCTTCAAAATTCTTAGATTACAGACTGGGAATATGACTCAGGAGTAGACTGTTTATCCGGCATATATTAGGCCTTGGGTTTGATCCCTAGCACCACAAAACAAACAAAGTGTTAGATTAATCTCTGTTTATCACTATTGTAAAATTGGACTTTAAAGATATTTTATTCGAGAGCTGGATTGTGGCTCAGCGGGAGAGCGCTTGCCTAGAAATGCGAGACCCTGGGTTCCATCCTCAGCACCACATCAAAATAAATAAATGAAATAAAGGTATTATGTCCAACTACAATTAAAAAATAAATATTAAAAAATATTTGAAATAATTTCAAATTTACAGAAAAGTTGCAAAATTTTAAATATTACAAAGAATTCCTGCATCTTTGACTCACATGAATATATTGATTTATTGGTAACATTTGGCTCATTTGTGTACTTTCTCTCAAAACTAGTCTATAAAAGTACTATTCAAGACTCATGTGTAGTTACATTTTTTCTAGTAGCCACATTTAAAGAGTAAAAATAAACAAGTGAACTTTGACAGTAAGCATTTGATTTAACTTAACCAACATACCCCCAAAATTATTATATTCAGTATGAAATCAGTATTAAAAATTACTGAGATATTATAAATTTTTAATATTAAAATTTGAAATCCAATGTGTAATTTATATTTATGACAAATAACAAGTCAGATTAACCATGATTTATATGCTCATAGCCACTATGACTAGTGGCTATAGTATTGGATAGTGTGGCTCATGCATGTCTTCTCCCTTGCCTTCCTGTCTCTCCCCAACCTTTACCCCTTACTTTCCCCMCCGCACACTCTTTCTTTCTTTCTCCATCTCCCTCTTTATCTCCTTTCTCTGTAAACACATATGCATGCACCTGCACACACACATGTTTACACATATACATAAGTTCTTATATAATTGTTTTCTGTATTCACATAGTTGTATTTCTAAATCATTTAAGTGTAAGTTGCATAGTCATGGCCTTTTACCTCTGAATGCCTCGGTATATGTTTACTAATAGGAATATTCTTTTATATATTCATAGTAATTATCCATTTCTATAAAATTAACATTGATATAGTACTTTAATCTATTATTCAGTTCATTTATTTATTATCTATTTTTTTCTTAATATTAGTCATACTTCAATATTGCACCCCTCTCCAGTTCAGGATCTAGTCCTGGTCACTTGTGGTGTCTCTTTAGCCTCCTTTAATCTGGAACATTTTTACAGCCTTTATTTTATTGTGATATTTGCTAAGGATATAGTTCCCCTCACCACATACACTTTTTCAAGCATATTACTCCTTCATTTAGGTTTGTCTAATGTAGAACTAGGCTTTTGATGTTCTTTGCTACTTATTATACTGCCTTCAGAGTGTCAAGTAAATATTTTTTGATTCAGTTAAGAACTTTTCATGACAAAAATGTATCATAAAACTTGTCTTAAGTAATCTCCTAAACAGTGTATTCTTGGTTCCATGTGAATTGTTTGTATGACCCAAAATGCTGTAGGGTGCCAGTTCTTAATAATGGAATTGTCAGTGGGGACACAATCAGATAAAATGCTGGGGAGGAAATTTTAGAGCTTTCAATTGAGAGTAAAGAAATTTGCTAAATGAGATTGTGGGTTGGCCATTTCGTAAATTGGAGTGACAGAGAGGGAAGGCTGGTTCAGTTGTAGTTAGAAATTGAATCAGACTAAAACCTACTCTCTTAGGTTCATGTTAACCCTGAGCAATCTCATACCCTCTCTCAGTTTTTTTCTTTCTTTCTCCCTATATTGCCCTGTTTATTTCAGATGCTTTTTATGCTGAATTCTTCCATTTATCTACTTCTCCTTTTAATGCTGGTGGAGCACTGAATCCTGTTAAAAAATAATGTTCACAGATATGCTTTGTACTTCAGCCTTTTGTGTGTATGTGTGTGGTAGGAGGAATTGAACCCATTGCATATGTTAGACAAACACTCTACCACATTCCCTGCCCTATACCCAAACCTTTTGCAAAACTAAAATCAGTAGTTATTTTGTGCCAGCTTTTTTCCAGAAAACAACTTTTTCCTTTAGTCAACATTGATTACTTGAAGAAGCAGCTTGTGGAAAGCTGTTTTGTAAGGCTGAACCACATTTTCTTTGACCGTGGTTATCACCTATTGTCTTCTTTACCAGTCTATTTCAAAGGAATCTAGTCAGGGTGCAGATGAGGAAGCAGTGTAATCTATGGCCTGCATGTCACAATCAAGGATCTTGGCAGGCTACACCTCTGCTTCTTGTATTTTTTGCACCAGGGATTGAACCCAGGAACACTTAGCCACTGAGCCACATACCCAGCCCTTTTCCCCTTTTTTTCAATATATTTTATTTAGAGACAGGGTCTCTCTAAGTTGCTTAGGGCCTTGCTAAATTGCTGAGAGTAGCTTTGAACTTGTGATCCTCCTATCTTAGCCTCCTGAGCCTCTGAGATTATAGGCATGCACCACCATGCCCGGCTGCTTCTTGCTTTAATTAGAAATAGATATTTGGCTTTTGGGCTTTTATTTCTCCTGTGGTCTTATGGAGGTAGAGTTTCCTTTTTTTTTATTATGATTTTTAATATTGAGATTTGATAATAGACCATTGGTATTTAGTTTTTTGTTAGAAATGATGCTAGTAATATGTGTTCTCATTATTCAGTTTGTTCTGGCATGACTTGAATCCTATTCCATATTCCTTTATTCCTCAGATCTTGATCATATTTTTGAGCAGTTACTGCTATGTTAGCAGTATAGCTACCAGGAAGAACTAAAGGTCATTCTTTCAAGTACAGTGGGCTCATGAGCTAGTCTTTGAATTCTGCTGTCAGAAGACCTCCAAACTGGTGTGGTATGGTGGCACATGCCTGTAATCTCAGTTGCTTAGGAGGCTTAGGCAGGAAGATCATGAGTTCAAAGCCTTAGCAACTTAGTGAGATCCTGTCTTTAAATAAAATACAAAAAATGGGGATTGGCTCAGTGGTGAAGCCTCCCTGGGTTCATTCTCTCATACAAAAAATAACAGTAATAATAATAAGGTCTCCAAACTCTCTCTGTCTGGCACATAAGAGACTCTGTGTACCTCATCTATACAGAGGGCTACACCAAGACTGGGATTTTACTCAAGGTAGCGTCAGGAACCAGGCCGCCTACGGTTTCTGTGACTGCCTTAGATAAATAAATCAGTCACATAAGACATTCTTTTTAATATCAGAACATTCTTCATTTGTTCAAGTTTTAAAATTATTTCTTACAGGGTAACCAAATAGCCTATGGCATGATAAAAAGATTTTCTCTAAGCTTAAGTGATGAAAAAGCTTTACACACAAGGAGATCTTTCACAGCCTTATTTATGATTGCAGAAAATGAGTAGGAAAATCTATCCAGTTATGAGGGAATAAAATTATGGTAAGTCTACACAATTATTATGCAGGCATTTAAATATGTTTCAAACTGTTTATATTGATTGGAGAAATGCTTAAAATATTAAAATATATATGAAATTATATATATAGTAGGTTCACAATTATGCAGAAAACATAGAAAAGTTAATGGAAGAAAATATATTCATATATGGGCTAGGAATGTAACTCGGTGGTAAAGCATGTGCTTGGCATGTGAGGCCCTGGGTTCTATTGCCAGTATTGAAGAAGAAAAAAAGGAAGGGAAGGATGGAGGGAAGATTAGGGAGGGAGAAAAAGGGGGAGAGAGAGAGAGAGAGAGAAAGAAAGATAATATAATCATATATTATTAGACCCACAAATGGCATATTTCTTTCTACTTTTCATTTTTTTAAAATTTCAAAAAATATGTTAAATTGCTTTTATAACTAAATCAACTTTATTTTAATTTCCAATTAAGAAAATCCTTTTTATAGTCCATGGGCCTTTTTTTTTTTTTTTTTTTTTTACATTTACTAGGCCTTGAATTCATAGGGAATAGGTTCCAGCAGCTCATGCTCCTTTCCATTTGTTCTCACAAAATGTGCTTCTTTGGGTGGAGCAGGCTGGTGCTTCAGCTGAACCCAGGTACCTTTCTCTCTGGCTTCCTTCTTTTTCTGATCATTTTCCTTCACATGTTTCAGGAAGCTGCCTCAGCTCTTAGAGTGCTTAATATGCTTAATACGCACATCAGTTCTCTTGGCAAGAATCTTGTCATTAACTTGCTTATTCACAACAATGCCAATAGCATGCTGAGTAACATTGTAGACTCTCCCAGTTTTGTCATGATAGCATTTGTGGGCATTCCTTTTTGAACAGTAGCCATTCTCTTAATGTCTGCATTATTAACCTTCTTGTAGATTCACATATATGTGGCCAAAGGAACAACTCCATGTTTTTCAAAAGTCCTAGAGAACATATATCAGGTTCCAGTTCCTCTCCTCTTTCCTTTGCTTTACATTTCGTCTTTTTGGTGAATTACTGGAAGATGGTGGTTCCTGTCAAAAGGTCAACTTTATTTTAAAAGTACTTTTCCATAATATGCTTTAACTTTAAAATGTCTCTAGGTATACCTTACTGCAGGGCAGACATGGATGTTGGTTGAGTCATTGAGTTGAGATACTAACTTGCTGCTTGCTACAGAGTTCAAAGCAGTGAGTTCAAGTCCTGGTTCTCCTAATTATATAGCCCTGGAACTACTCTAAATCTTTTTTCTTTCTGGAAAATTGATATAACTAAATTAAAATTCTAACTCTTGATTAGTTATGTCCTATTAACTCTCTTATGTTGGATTCATCACTGTATAAGCAGAAAATAACATCTACCTCACAAGGTTGGTGTGAGGCTTAAATGGAGATGTTTTTTGATCCATAAAGTATGATATACATGGAAAGAGATCCTGGTAAATGAATTTTCAGGCTAATGTAACTAAAGGTATTGCCTATATCTTGAGTTCATAAGAAATGATTACCCTGGGGCCAGGAATGTAGCTCATTGGCAGAGTGCTCATGTAGTATGTGTGAAGCTCTCAAAAAAACAAAAGTAAAACACGACCTTGATTGACATGATGTTATGTATTTCATATTTCCCAATCATATTTCCCAATCAGAGAGGACCAGGTAAACTTCCGTGGATTCATGAGAACTTTGGCTCATTTCCGACCCATTGAGGACAATGAAAAGAGCAAAGATGTGAATGGACCAGAACCACTCAACAGCCGAAGCAACAAACTGCACTGTAAGGAGCTAAAGTCATCTGACTTAAAATATTTGCTTTACATTTCTTACAAATCATGTATTTACATCTTCATTCATTGAATAACATTTACAAGAGCAAACTCAGTGCTTAGACCCTGGAGCTAAACTGACTGAGTTTGAGTCCTAGCTATACCTCTTTTTGGCCTTGGGGGTCTTGGCATATTAAGATCTTTAGGCCTGTTTCCTCTTCTGTAAAGTGTGATATTATGGGATTCTGCATGGGGTTGTTGTAAAGATTAAAGGAGTTAATAATGTATGTCAAGTATTTCAAATAGTGCTTTATATATACTAAGTACTCAATTAGTGTTACCTGCTGTGTTGCTGTTATTGTTTATGTGTATGGTACTGGGGAACTAACCCAGGACTTCCCACATGCTAAGCAGGCTGTCTACCACTGAGTTGCATCCCCAGCCCACCTGCTGCTTGCTGCTATTGTTATTATTATAATTCACTGAGTGCCTACTGTGTGCCAGGTACTCTAGTAAGTCCTAGAGTGACAGTTGTGAGCAAAACCCATGCCCTACCTATGGGGAATAAAGACAATCCTCTACCCATCATAGAATTTGATAGATACCAGATGTGACGTAAGTTAGTGCAAGATTTAATTTTTGTTCCCATGCCTCTTGCCTCCTTTCCTTGGATACTTTAAAATTCCCTTCTGCCATTATTTATTCCTGTTATATTGCTCAATCCTTGCAACACTTCTCTAAGAAGTTGAAATTGAATTTCTCTTTTCTTTCAACACAAGTCAAAACTGAAATTATATGAAACTGATTGAACTCAAGCTTCTCTTACAAGGAAAAAAAAATATATATATATAAATTACAAACTGTAATGTCACATTTATATGTATTTGAAAAAATGACACATGAGACTTAAAATTTTAGTTTGTGGCCTTTGGGCTATTTCCCCAGGCAGAGAAGTATAAATTCACTCTCTTGATAAATGAGGTATAGAGTTTGAGAAGCATTGAAATGAATCTTTCTTATTTAGGACAGGAAAGATTTCTGAACAAAAATGGTAACATATTATTTAGCCTTTGGTAGGAGATTACATTCCCAAAAAGGTGGAAAACTTAATACAAACAAAATCAAATACAGGAAAATAAATAGAATTCTAATGAATTATCTTCAAATTTTTTGTACTTTGTTAATGGATTCCAACTTCTTCTCTCAAGACTAAATACTATTTGAGGCAAAAAATTGTATCTATAGTTTGATTAGCATTTTAGCATATATTTACTAAATGCTTGACTGACTTTGACATTAATATGGTAGAAATTTTTTTTTTAAAATTTTTAGTTGTTGGTGAATCTTTATTTGTATGTGGTGCTGAGAATTAAACCTGGTGCGTCAGACTTGCCAGGCAAGCACGCTACCACTCAGCCACAACCCTAGCCCCAATATGGTAGAAATTTTTGTTTTTTTATATCAGAGATTGAACCCAGGGTGCTTAACCACTGAGCAATATTCCCAGCCCTTTTTATTTTTTATTTTGAGCCAGTTAGGGCCTTGCTAAATTGCTGAGGCTGGCTTTGAACTTACAATCCTCCTGCCTTAGCCTCCTGAGCTGCTGGGATTGCAGGCCTGTGCCACTGCACCCAACAGATATTTTCTTGTAATGTTACAAACCAAGAGTTGATCAATAATTGAAGTGCTGGGCAAAGTGGCACACACCTGTAATCCCAGCAACTTGGGAGGCTGAGGCAGGAGGATCACGAGTTCAAAGCCAGCCTCAGCAATGGGGAAGCCCTAAGCAAGGTACTAAGCAATTCAGTGAGACCCTGTCTGTAAATAAAATACAAAATAGGGCTTTGGCTGTGGCTTAGGGGTTAAGTGCCTCTGAGTTAAATCCCTGGTTCCAAAAAAGAAAAAAGAAAAAATCAGCTATACAAGATAATAAATAGAAGGAAATACCAATTTTAGTAGAAGCTTTAAGGAAAACATAGGCTATTTTTCCTTTCATATTCACATACTCCTTTGTCTGTGGATCCTGGGTTAAGCAATGTTCTCAGGCTGGGAATGTAGCTCAGTGGTAGAGTACTTGCTTATCATACAGCACCATTAAAAAAGAAGGAAAAAAAAAAGAAGAAATGATCTACAAGAACCCTTCTGTTCTCAAACAGGGAATTATTGTTTCCTTATAGCAGCTTTTCTTTTCTTTTTTAATATTTTTAATTGTAGATGAACACAATACCTTTATTTTATCTTTATATGTTGCTGAAGATCAAACCACTGCCTCACAGGTGCTAGGCAAGTGCTCTACCACTGAGCCACAACCCCAGCCCCATAACAGCTTTTTTTATAGCAGCTCTAACCATACATAAGCATCTTTCTTTTTTTTAATATGTATTTTTTTAGTTGTAGGTGGACACAATACCTTTATTTTATTTTTATGTGGTGCTGAGGATTGAACCCAGTGCTTCATGTGTGCCACGCAAGCACTCTACCACTGAGTCACAGCCCCCAGCCCCATAAGCATCTCTTTTTTTTTTTTTTTTAATATTTATTTATTTATTTAGTTCTCGGCGGACACAACATCTTTGTTGGTATGTGGTGCTGAGAATCGAACCTGGGCCGCACGCATGCCAGGCGAGCGCGCTATGGCTTGAGCCACATCCCCAGCCCATGCATCTCTTTTTTTAAAAAAAAATTTTTTCTTGAGTGCCAGGAGCAGTAGCACATGCCTATAATCCCAGTGGCTTGGGAGGCTGAGGCAAAAGGATCACAAATTCAAAGCCAGCCTCAGCAATTTAGCAATGCCCTAAGCAACTTAGTGAGTCCCTTTCTCAAATAAAAAAAAATTTTAAAAGGGCTGTGTAGGGGCTGGGGTTGTGGCTCAGAGGTAGAGTGCTCTCCTAGCATGCGTCAGGCTCTGGGTTCAATCTTCAGCGTCACATAAAAATAAAATAGAGTTATTGTGTCAACTTACAACTAAAACATAAGTATTTTAAAAAGGGGAGCCTGTGGATGTGGCTCAGTGGTTAAGCATTCCTAGATTTAATTCCTTGTACCAAAAAAATTTTTTTAAAAATTCTTCCTCGGACTAGGCACATGATACATGTCTATAATCCCAGTGATTCAGCAGGCCAAGGCAGGAGGATAGCAAATTCGAGGCCAGCCTCAGCAATTTAACAGGTGCCTAGCACCTGTGAGGCACTGGTTTGATCTTCAGCAACATATAAAGCAATTTAACAAGGCCCTAAGAAACTTAGTGAGATCCTGTCTCAAAATTTAAAAATAAAAAGGGTTTAGTGGTAAAGCAACCCTGGGTTCAATCTTCAATACCAAAAAAAAAAAAAAAAAAAAAAAAAATCTCCCTTCCAGTAAGGCTTGTAGTCCCAGATGCTCAGGAGACTGAGGCAGGAGTATTGCTGGAGCCCTGCAGTTTGAGCTCTGCCATTTTACACCAGCCCAGACAACATAACAAGACCTCATCTCAAAAACAAAACGAAAAAAACTTCCCTTTTTTTTTTTGAACTGAAAATGTCTCCCTGATCCTCATTGCATAAATTTTCTACATGATAGGCTTTTATGTATTTGGAAATAAATCTCTAAACCCAGTATTTCTTTCTTCTGGCTTTATGCCAGTTCTTTTAATATCCTCCTTATGGGGTAAAGGGGATTTTATTGGATATAGAGCTTTATTTAGATTTGCAAGTTGAAACAGTACTGGAGATTGGTTTCACAACAATGTGAATATACTTAAAATTACTGAACTATAAACTTAAAAATGATAAAACATTTTATGTTTATTACCACAACAAAATAACTGTGCCCTCAAACTTCTAGTTGCTTTCTTATAAATGTGCTCTAGCATTATCTCTGGGATCCAAAATGAAATATTGTTCCCAAGATGTGTTCTTATTAGCATACAGGTGGATTACAACTATTCTTTTTTATTTTTAGCATTCTTTTTTTATAATTTTTAAATATTTATTTTTTAGTTGGACACAATATCTTTATTTATTTATTTTCATTTGGTCCTGAGAATTGAACCCAGGGCCTCACATGTGCTAGGCGAGCGCTCTACCGCTGAGCCACAACCCCAGCCCCATTCTTTTTTTTTTTAATCTTTATTTTATTTATCTATTTATTTATTTATTTTTAAATATTTTTTGGTGTTGATGGACTTTTAATTTATTCATTTATTTATATGTGGTGCTGAGAATTGAACCCACTGCCTCACACATGCTAGGCAAGCATTCTACCACTGAGCCACAACCCCAACCCCAGATTATAATTATTCTTGTTCTAATGTTGTGCTATTGTTGCCATAGCCTGATATTTTATTGCTTTGGGGTGAGGGTAGAGGTGCTACAAGGCAGACAGGCAGCATGTGTGGTGGCATCATTTTAGATTTGCCTATAGATAGTGTTTATATGTGTTGTTAGACCCAAGTGCAGCACTTTGGTTTATCCCCCTACCTTTTATTTTGTTAGATTTAGTCCAGACGTTTGTAGCCTGTCAAAAATCCTTTTTGGTTCTGAGTATGAATCTTTATTTATTTATTTTCTTGTGGTGTTGGACCTTGAATCCAGAGTCTCACAAATGCTAGGGAAGAACTCTACTACTAAGCCACATCCCCAGCAACCTGAGCATTGAGTCTTTTGTATTCACTATGCCTCCGAGTTTCCACTCAACCAGAATATCAGCTATTTGATTATTACAGCTTCAATGAAAAGTCATGATGAAAACAAGAAGAAGCTGAAAGAGCCCTGTATCATAATACTGGCTACTTCTTTCTTTTGTAACATAAATTCCTGTCTTTGGATTTTCTAACCTATTGTGCCATTGTATACAATAGAGTAACAAGGTAGCCCTTATTAAATATCATCCTGAAATCTATTTAATTTTTATATTTTTTTGTACATTTTTATGTCTTTTTTGAAGATTGATCCAAGCAATACTTATCACTTTTTATTTTTTATTTTGACACAGGATCTCTCTTAGTTGCTTAGGGCCTCACTAAATCCAAAAG